TATGATCAGTATCTGGGGGTTTTTCAGCACGCTTTGATGCTTTCAGGTTATGTCTGTATTAAGTTGTTCAGACGGAGCAGGAAAATAGGACAGTGACACAGTCATTAGCTCCTAAAGGGGGAAGCAATCCCATTTCTGTGGGAAGTAGAGCTCTGTTTACTGCGTGACAATGTGATATTGTGCTGCTCATGCCGTCTTAATTGGAAACAGTCTCACCCCACAAAAGGTGCATAAGATCCCTGATTTTGTGAAGCAATCTCACCCCTCCCCTTTCCCAACCCCATCACCCTCCTCCTCCTCCTCCTTCCCTCTGAAGAGCAGCGAAGCCCCCTGAAGCATTTCCTTAATCCTCCGGAAGATCATGCTCTCCCACTAAATATGGTACCTGTGGACAAACAATGGATTTTTCCATAACAATAAGTTGAAGATTTCATTATGAGTGGCTAATGGATGGAGGGGTCTGGGCCTCAGCAGATACACGGAGAAGCTTCCTTTTGATCAGCAGCATAGGGTTAATCCATGGTAAGAAATAATGGAGGTTTAGAGATGGGGGGGGTGGGTGCAGTATTGAGCGGGGCTGAATTTACAGCCGAGAGGGCTCAGTAAAAGGATGATTTTTAGAGCCTCTCGCTGCGTATTGAAGGGAAGACTGTCTGACAAGTCATCAATGAGCCCTGGCGCTGTACTAAACTAATGAAAGCTGCATTTGATCTTCCCCGAAGAGGTTCAATACCACTCCTGCTATTATTTAAGTCCTCAGCTTCACCCAGACCTGTTTCCAGATCCACGAAAATCATTAAATTGCACAGTGAAGTAAACTGTGTTTGTAAGTATTGGATGAGGAGGAAATATCTAAACTGGTTATAATGTATCCCAGTTGATTGTATCTAATAGACACTTCCTGAGTTGTTTAGTGCCTGTCAAAGTCTACCCGCTGGTCTAGGTTCAGTTAACAGTAACATCTAGGTACTGTAGGGTAAGATAATTCATATTTCAGTTAACTATGGTTAGAGGTGTGCACAGAAAGAGTTGTCATGCCATACAAAGCAATACAAAAATGTAAAAAAGTCCATTTTGTATTGCTTTGTTTGGCCATCTTGTGTGGTCTGATGATTTTAGTCTTTGCAGCGACACATCCAACAGTCTTTAAAGTGAACTTGTCGATATGTAAGAAACATTTTTACATGTTTTCACCTTTGTTTATATTCTACAATCCTGCTCTTGTTGTAACCACATACCAAATCTTATCTTCCCCTCAAACACTGCTGGCTATATTATTTTCTCATTGAATCAAAATACAAAATAAAGCCTTGTTGTTGAGTTTATATTCAAATGCTAAGGTCCGCCCGACCGCACTCGAGCAGGATGAAAGATCTGGTCTGAGCCGGTGCCAGAGAGCAGGGCATGCGTCATCTGCTAACATCAATGATGAGCTGCACCGCAAGCAAAACAGCCCATCCTCGCACTTGAACCGCAGTGATTCAAGGTTATGTTAACTGAAACATGTTGAAGTAATAATATAAACACTGTGATAAACCAGATTTCAGTAATAAATCTGGCCAGAGGGGGCCTGAGTGAAATGTGTGATGACATCGAGTGGTTGTTAGTGTTAAAGTCTCCCATTATGCATCTGTTCTGCATCTATCCCCCGTTCATCCTGCAGACGCTTGAGTGCTATATTTTTACTTTAATGTTGTAAATGAATAAATGAATAGGTAATCAATAATGTAAATAGATGATTAAATACGTAAAAACAAACACGTTTTACAGATTTAAGTCCTTTCAGTCTTACATTGTAGCCAGTAAAGTGCCCCCATAACAAAAAAAACACGCTTTTTCATTTTTAGAAGCATATAAAAAACACAACATATACATCAAATAATTGCAGTAAGGTCAAAGCAAAACAAGTTTGATTTGTGTTTTTGAGTCTTTGATATCCTTTTAATCATTTAAGAGTACAACTTGTGTTAGGCGTCATGTAATTGACTCCTGAAGACGTAACACATGTGGATATTTGCAAAATCCAACAAAAGAATACAAATAAAAAGAAGATTTTCTACTTTTCAGTTTAAAAACAATGAACATTGTCGGCCCAAAACGGAACCAAATCCACAAAAAAACAGAATCTGAAAATCGTGAATTTATCGTATTAAAAATATCACACAGAAGTAATATGACTTAGCTTTTTATTTCACACAATCTTTGATTAAGTTATCTGATATAATCAAGTCAAAATCAGAAATAATTTCCCCTGAAAGGCCTAAAGCTCTGCCTCAACCAAAAAAAGACATGACCTGAGCCTTTGCTAAAAATCCAGTTCATGACTAATCAGAGGTTGTGTTAGGTCGGTTGAGAAAAAGTCATGAGAGAGGGGAGAAGCGGAGTGTAGAGACTGGTTAATAGAGAGAGGAGATTGTGAGAAAGAGGGCAGCAGAGCCGAATTCTCCCCAGGCAGAGGGTAACAGAGGAGAGAGAGATGCATGTTGGGAGAGAGAGCTGCTGGGGCATGCAGGGGATAGGCCTGCTAATCCTCACATATATATTCTCCTAATTAATCCTGATTACCACTTTTTAATCGGCCTGCTCAGGCTGCCCTGGAATAAAGTGACACTTCCTAATGAATTAAACCTGTAATTTACAATTGGTGCACTATTCCCCCCGTTGGTTTTTTCCGCCTCTCATATTGGTCCTGTGTGGCAGCCTCCGGTCTGTCAGAGGCGTGTGGTCTCACTCCGCACCAGTTAACTACTAAATGCTCGGGTCACACCTGCGCCCTTTTATGGGGTCTGGCAAATCAGTGGGGTTAGTGTTGTGAGTGATCAGTCCAGTCGCTGCTGTTGGGGAGGATATGCTGGACAGACATTTATTATTTGGGGGGTGGCTAGTGGGTATAGAGTGGTGCATTGATGACCCTGAAGTTAGCATTGCAAGGGCTCCCCAGACTAAAAGGAATAGCAGTTTCACATTGGATTTTGGAATAATGCAGAAAATATGATCTGTTGTAAACACACATTTAGGATATTTACGAGTTTTGTGAAGCAGGGTAATCTCCACAGATTAACACCACTTTTAAAATAGTTCAAGCGTGACAGAAGTTGATAGCTAACGTCATGCTATACACACTACATAACGCTTGCATAACTCCACCGCTAGGCTAAAGGCGGCTAATATCCTGTGATGACTTTTAGTCTCACTTAGTCACATGTTAACAACGTGCGTTTAAGAAACTTGAAAGCTTCATGCGATCACCAGGGGGTTATCTACTGATGTGGGTTTATATCATAGAAGAAAACATGAAACTATCGTAAGCTTGTATTAAACACCTTCTTTTGGGAATCAAACCAAAAACATATTCAAAAGACCAATGACTTCAAGGCAAGGGAGCCTGGAAGTGCTAAAATGCTAACTCATTTCCTGGTTAAGGGCTCACTCTTGCACTACACTATGTGCCCATTGTTTTAGGGACGTTCCAGATGGAAGCTTGCTGAAGAATTGTGTCACCTTGTGTAGCTTTTTTTTGTGTCCCCTATCCACCTTCAGCTCCCACTGGATGTAAACATAGCATATCAAAACCGGACTCTCCCTTTGCTACCTCCCCAAAGATATAGTGTGATCAACCTCGACCCCTTGGTCAGTGTAGTGTCTAATCCAATGAGATGCGTTTAGGTGCAGAAAAGATAAACAGACAGATTGCTGACCCTCCTTTCCTTCCGGGTCAGCAGCGAGCGGTCTGAGACCACGGCGGTAATGAACTCTGTCCCCCCCTGCGTCGGCCCTCTGCCTCCCTCATTTGAGTGTCTTCAGCCCTGGGAGATGGGATCCTGTGAAGCAGTGATTGTTTCCACGATTAGGTGGGAAGAGAGCTGGAGCTGTGCTTGTGGATCCCTCCCATGGATTCGCTCCCTCAACATAGGCCGAGCTGAAAAACAATAGCCAGCTGTCGCCCGGCGGCTGATGTGCCTTTGATCAGCCAAATGAAGGCTGCTGGCATTTCTTATGGAGTGGAGATTGCTTATCGATCTATATCAAAATATTCATGCTAATCCCGGGCAGCGGAGACTATTTTCAAGCCGGGTTAGCAATCAGAGCTGCCGTCCTGTCTAGAGCAATTCGCTGAGCTGGGAAGTCTAATCAGCTCAGGGTCCTGCAGTCAAATGCACTTTGCTGTTTAAATTTGGACCTCTGACATTGATGGAGGAGTCCAGAGAAAGGTGTTGACAAACCAAATTGTTTGTTCCAGCACTATTTTGCTAGAGATCAAGTCCAGAGTAATGCGCAGTGAATTTGTTCATTACTAGGTGGGGCTGCAGAGGAGAGGGCTGAGGTTTCAGGAGGACTAGTGTTTCAGGGCTGGGGGATTGAAGGGTTTGGGGGGGGGACAGCTTGATGCTGGTGAGTGTATTCATGTGTTTGTGGTGTGTGTGTGTGTGTGTTTGGGGCTGCGGGGATTGGTAGCCGTGGTGTGTGTGTGTATTGTTTGGAGGGGGGTTGTGGTTGTGACAGTGGTTTCAGGGAGGCTGGATGAGTGTGTCAAAGGGTCAGAGGGGGAGAGTAGGGAATCAAGGAGCTAGAAGGTGTTGGGGAACAGTCAGCCGGCTTTATTCAGGACATTTATCATGCATTTTATTCATAGCATTATTTTCTCTTGTGATCCGTCTGTGTTTATAATGTATTATATATTTAAAACCCATGTGTAGACTGATCATTTAATATTTTGGGACCATTTAGTCGTTAGGGTTAGACCAGTTTTAGGGAATTTGGTTTGTGTTACATATTTTTCGGCTTGTATATATTTCTGTAGAATACATGTAATCTATACAATTCTAGACGTGTTATATTTTAAATACGTTCTGCTTAGTGTCAGGGCCTTTATTCCCAAGCTTCGGTTCGTTTATTGGTGTGTTCTATTTCATTTAACTCCAATATGTATAACAATCTTACAATTTTTTTTAACTGTTTGTGAATAAAATGTATTTACTGTAATTGTGTGTCTTTTCCAGGGTTCCTCAGCTGCCCGGATGAAGAATAAACTCGTTTTTAAACACTCTTAACCTGTCATTTGTCCATAAAAAATACAACTTAATGTACTTTTTTTCTTTAAAATGTTACGTTTATCTTAATACAAATAATAACACATATAAAATGTCTTTATATACCGTGTGTCCAGGGTGTGTGCTGGCCTCCTTGATCACAGATTATGTTTCCTTTGCAAAGCCCCTCCCTTGCAGTGACGCAGGGTTCTAAATCTGTCCCAATACGTTAATACTGTCATGCAATTATTGTGCGAAGAAATCTGTGAAGAAAAAAGCATTGCCAGAACGGAGAGATTATCCTGCTGGAGGGTTGAAGGGCTAATGTCTTGCCATATGGCCCAGATTGTAATGTGCAGTGTCCTGCCTCAGGGTCAATCATACATCAAGTATTAGTGTCAGGTGGGGATTAATGCTTAATGTTCCCTCACCTCCGACCAGCTCACTGTACTCTACCTGCTCTGGTTACTGCGCTGACATGGTGCATTTCTCATGTTAGGTAACAGATTGGGACTGAGCTGCTTTCCCCATGACTACAGTTTCATAATCAAACTAAATCAAAAAAGCTTAGTATTAGTAGTATGAGTATTAATATCACTATTAACATTATTATTATTTGTATCAATATTGTTTCCATGATTATTATTGTTTATAACTTAGGTCCAAACACCCATATGTTCATTGTTTGAATTATAGGAATGAATATTTATTTATTTATAGTTTCTGTATTAAATCATATTTTTCAGGGCCTTAAAGTGACTTTTTGTAATCAAACATCAAAAATGAATTTTATTTGATTGAATTTTTTATATTTTTGGTGTAAAGTATCGTAAAAAAAGCACACTACTCTTCTGTGTGTTTTGCCTCTTTAGCCGCCTGTCAGCCCTGAATAAAGCTTCCCTATTTGTGTTGTTGTTGCTGCAGAAAGCAGCGATTAGTGCGATTATTGCTATGACTGATGTGGGGCCATACATTTTCACAGAGGGTGATTTACCCCACACTTATGGCATAATGCTCGGCTTGTACACACTGCAGCCAGGGATGTTTTTGTGTACATAATCAAGATTTATTTTCCAGTTTCCACGCCGATATTTAGTTTATATGGATTGTTATTATTCATCCAATAAAGTGCGCTGATATGTACGGCAAAAAGAAGCTGTAATTCGATGCAGAGTCGAGCACGTTATGCATAACCGTATTTTATTTGATTATTGCTGCTGTTAAAAGCATCTTAGTTTTTCCTCAAGGCCTTTCTCTGTCTCTTTATAAGGAATGTGTATACAGTATTTCTGCGAGATAGTAATTGCTATGGATCTCATGGTTGCCTTAAATGGCCCAGTGTACCCAGCCAGACTTTGTCACCTTGTAGAGATTTAAGCCAAGTCCTGGCTAAGGAATTAACCTAAATGACTATATAAGTAATTAACCTCATAATCCCTTTTTGACTGATTAGAATTGATAGGCTCTTGCTCATTTGACACGAGTGCCTCTCCATATGAATCCTCTCAAAACAAAGAGTGTCAAGGGGGGGGCCCGAGACATATTGTGTGTTGTAACCTTGAGAAACGTGGTGATGGAGAGGGTGTGTTATAGGACGGATGTGAGATGTTTCTGTGTGTACGTGTGTGTTTGTGCGAGGTTCACATATGTCAGACGGCAGGATGTAAGGTGCAGGTGTCGCCAGGCTTTCGTGCTGCCTGTCACCTTGTGAATAAACAGCAGTTGTTCTTAGGGGAAGGCGGGACTGATTCATGTGAGATTGGCGGAACATGGCAGATGGATGTACTTTTTCATATGTGTAAATAGTCGCAGCTAGCTATTAACATACCTCCGTGCAGATGGCAAACTGTAATAAAGTACAGGCGATAAAACAAGCCTCCTCGTCGATGGCTGACGCCCAGCCGATGTTTGTTCATTTTTACATACAGTGCAATATGTTCTGTAGCACAAGGGCACAATAACTAGTGGGGATATTTAGGAGTGCTTGTTGTTCCTGAATAGTAAACAGTTTTAATGTTGCAGTAAAAGCAGTTTGATCTGGTTTTGCTACACGTAACAGAAGTTGAAAACCTTATTTTTTATCCTTACTTTTTTCACATCATATTTGATCGAATGAAAGACTTCTATTCTTTGATTTTATAGGACGATCTAACTTAGCTGTGTGTTCCCCGATGTGAATAGCTAGTTGGAGCAGGAGTGGTTACATGCTGGATCACAAGCTGACGTTGGAGCCACTCTGGCCCACAGCTGGTTCCCCTCCAACTGGATGATCTGCTCCTTCCTGACTCCAGAGACCAGAGGAAGAGGCTGAGAAACCCAGACAGAGAACAAGAGCACCAGAGACAGACAAGTAGACGGGTAGAAGGGGGTGGAGGAACCGTGGAGAGGAGGGGGAAAACAAAAGTGGGGCTGCATGGCGTCAGCATCCAGATGCGTGTGTTTGTGGAGGGCGTGCATGCGTTTGTGGAGCCCAAGGACTTGTCGTCTGTCTGCTGCTGGTGGTGGCAGCCAGCTGTCAGGGGAGCTCAGGGAGAGAGGGAGAGAAGGAGAGAGGGAGAGAGGGGAGGCCAGGTGAGAGGAGGGCCAGCGGCAGACGAGGACTGGAGCCAGCGCTCGCTCACTCCAAATGAATGGTGACAAGAGCGCGAGAGCCATTGATCCACTGGTCAAAGCACCCCTAAGGCTGCAACCTAATGTGCTGAAAAAAGAAACATCAGCCCCAGTTGGGGATCGGGGAGGGAGACAATCCTCATCGGATGAAACACAGCTTCCACACAACATGAGGGGATCAATAGGATAGCTGCTGGAGGTGCTCCTTCAGTACATATATATCCATCATGGACAAACTCATAGGAAGAATCATATTCTGACGTATTGTAGTGGTGACAGTTCACATAGTTAAAAAATACAAACATATTTTATTCGTCTCACAGCGGGAGAATTTAAAGCGGTACAGCCAAGATACACTGCTGATAAAAGGCAAACGGAAAAAGAGTAGACTTTAAATAAAAAGGCAAGCACACCATAAGTACACCCCTATACAAAATAAGAAGTAGTAAATTAAGTAAGTGAACATACAAAGTATTGAAGAAGCCGGTATTGTCTACTATTTGTAAATACATTTTAATTAAATAATGCGTAAATAGCACAGTGTCTATTGCACCTGAAGAGTATTGCACCGTTATTGAGCATGATTCCTTTCAGAGTTTGAGTTCTGAGTATTTGCATTTCCACACATGTGTTGTTGTTGTTACAGTCTTTGATAAAGCAGCTTTTAGATGCGGACACTTATTGTTTCAAAACAATTAAATATATAACAGCTCAGCCACCGCCGTGTAAAAAAAAAAACCCGGAGAAGTGTTATTCATTAAATGTGTAAGGTTGATAATAGTTTTCTTCAGGTGATGAGGAGATTTCTTTTAATTCCTCATTGATAACATTTCATGTGAAACTTTCCAGAGCAAATCACACATATCTCCGACTTATCGCCATTTCCTAAGAATTACCGTCGTTTGAAGAATGCCTCAGAGCTATGGTACATGTGTTAGGAGTTAACAAGCAAACATGCTCACAAAATGCACGAAGATGCAGGAGGAAGTAGCCTGGGACACAAACAGCACGCGAGCATAAAACATTACATTACATGTCGAGAAGCTCTGATCACTACACATCAGTCCAGATAATTACCTGCTGTGGTCCACCTGGCTCTCACTATTCATCGATCAGGAAATGTAATCATTACATGACTATAAAACATTCCCCAAAATGAGTTTTTAGCACATTGAAATTCATCAGCCACTCTTTGAATATTGAGTTTTGTCCTAAGTGCTGTGATATGGTCTTACTTGATGCGGTGACAGTTGATTGGCCGGTGTAACCTGAGCAGCCCTCTGTGGGCGTAGCGCCCAGCTGATTGATCGGTGATGCGGGCGGAGGGAGATGATTGATTGATTGAGGTTGGTTAGGTGACAAACAATGCAGCGCCTAGCCCATCAAGGTGCAGCGCTGTCAGTAACAATAATCCCTGATTGCCTCTGCTCCTTCTCCCCCCCCCCCCCCCCTCTCCACACTCCCCCTGTCCTCCTCTCCATCCCCACCTTTAAGATTTAACATAGTTGTATGTTTACATGCAAAAAGACAAATAAAAACAAATATGCACAAACATTAGATTATACTTTATTCATCCCAAATGGATTTTCTTTTGTCACAGTAGCATGTAAACAGGCATGGGTTGAGTTAAACATATAATACAATAAAAATAGGATAAATAAAGAAAAAAGGTAGCAACAGTAGAACGTATATACATATTAATATAGTATCCAAAAGAAGACAAACATATTTACATTACTCCTGTACTCATACATGCAGATTGGGCTGCACGATTTGTAAAATATAACTAATTGCAATTATTTCGACTGATATAAGAGTCCAGATATTAGAGGGATGGATCATATTTTGAAACATTATTCACATTTAAAAATATATTAAATGATGATGTACCAAACAAGGTTTTCGTTTATTAAATCTCAAGAATACCATTTGTTACAATAATGATTATTTTTTCACTGATTTTGCTTTTTACCAAATGTTGCACTACGATTTGGATATCAAACTAGTCCATATTGCGATTGTAGAAAAACACAATACATTTTGCAGCCCAACATGCAAGCAATTATTTTAATAACACAGAATGAAAAAGTGTGAAAGTCCTCCAATCCTCACGGTTGTTTCCCATCCAGCCGTTCTCTAACTCACCCAACCTCTGCTAAATATCAACTATTAACAAACCGCTCTATTTCTCTCCACCACACACCTGCCTGTGTGTGTGTGCATGTGTGTGTAGCTGCACACAATGTTCAGAGCAGAGCAGCCAATGGCCCTGGGCCTCTCACGCATATTATTCATATTACTGCTGATTCTAAAAAATTAGTCGCCAGGATATCCCTTTGAGATTGAAGAGATTATCAAGTTCAACTTCAAACACTTCCCAGATTGAGTTAAAACACCACACAGCATCCATTAGCGGTAAACCTTT